TATCTATTTTCTCCCATGTTTGCATGATTTTCTTTTCATGCCTCAATTTATTCTTTATCAATGTCATATTGTCCCTAAAGTGGCAACAAAGGTTCACCCATCGATTTTGACATTGTTAGAACTTCATTTTTGAGCAATTTGGCAGAGAAGTTAACGGTATCTATCTACTTCAACCATTTCATATTCTAATAATAGTATATTCTTCTCTTATTTGATTGGTGTCTGCTTCTTTTTTCTTTCCATTTCTTCTGCTCGACATTGTTTATCTCAAATTCAAGTTATTTTATAGTTAATTTATTTTTGTTCATTGAAATATCTGTAATAGTTTTTTTTATTATGCTATTCCCCAAAGCTTTCTTGTTTCCTTAAATTAAATAATTTAATTAATTCAATTTTTAATAAGTTATCATGTTATTTTTAGTTTTATATATAACATACTTTAGTAAAATTCCCTCTCTCCTTGATTTCTTCTCCCAAAAAATAATTTTTTTCTTTCTTTTATTTTACAGCATAAATTCCTGCTTTTAACTTTTTAATCATTTCCAATTTAGTCATCTCTTTTGCATTTCTATATATGTCCGTATTCTCTTGTTGTACGTATCTGATTTATTCTTCTTCATTTCGTTTTGTCACTGGAGAAACACTACACAGTGCCAAGTCTATCGTCTTCTCCTATATGGATATGCATTGTATCAAGATAGAATATGTTCACAATGCAACATGTTCACAATTATAACAAAGATTTTTCAAATAGCTATCAATATCTTATAAGCAAATGCAATACAATTTAAAAAAGATATTTCTTAGAATCCATCAATTTGTTTATTTGTACTAAATAGAAATATTATATTTTTCAATAAATATGTATTAATGAACATTATTTTTACTTGTTTGATTTATGTTTGGATGATCTTTGAATGCAACATGTCCACGAGCTTCATTAGTGATAAAAAATACTACAAAGTTTCATGTAGACAAAACACGCATTACTTGCTTCATATTTGTATTTTTTCTTGTTGAATCATATATGCACATAAATATATTTATAGATATGCTTATAATGTTCTTTAACTTCAAATAATTAATTTAACTTTTTAGCAGCTCCTCCATTGCCTCATATCCACCTAAAGTGTAAACTTGAAAAAAAATTTCATTTATCCTCACCGGGAAGGGCAATCAAACCATCATCATGTATATCCATCTCTAACTTTCTCTCATGCATGTATGCAAAATTTTTAACTTCTCCAATAGTTTCTTCTGCAATCTACAAAAAATTATTTGTTTTTATGTGACTCTTATTGTAAGAAGAAGCATGTTTAAAATCATTCTATCTCTTTACCTCATAAGGTAGTAAGGCACTTGGTATAATTTTTTTGTACAAATAAATTAAATTATTTGTTTGTTTTGTGAAACATGAAATATATATAATTATCAAATATATGACATTGTGGAAGTTAACACCGTAAGTCATGAAAGCCACCATTAAAGACAGTTTGATAAATGAAGCCCATTAAACCTATAATTCCACAACCATAAATCATATTTACCTTCCTATCAATTTGAAGAGATAATTACGTTTTGTTATTAAATATCTAATTGCATAAAATGCAGAGATCGTTAGAGCAATGAAGCTAAATTTGTTAGGTTATCTTATTTTTTACCATAACTTTGCCAAGCTAAGTAGCTGTAGCACTGACATACCGTGTTTTCCTTGTTCTACAACCATAAAAAACACATATCCTTCTAAATCATTCTAAGTTTTTATAAAAGATTTCTTCAAATTTTTTTCCGTTGCTTTATTGAATTTTATGGCGTTACTACCCCGTGATTCTTCATCACTATCAGGCTTAATCATATTCGAAATGTAGGTGATCAACTCCCAATCATGATCTTAAGAATTTGAGTTTAGTTAAAATACCAATTTTAACTAAATTTTAAATTCATATTTTCTGTGACACTTTCAGGTCTATGATCATTTATGGCATATATTAGTGTTGCGACCCCCATAACATTATTCTGTAGTTAAGAGGGATACATGAAAATATGATCCCACATAGATTAATTCAAAATATTTTAAGTTGAAATAAAAAGTGTTTGACCACACCAATAGAGTGAATTTTATTCTTTCTTCCATTCATGTACTCCTCGAAATGTATGTCAGGCAAACAATCCAAAACCTTTGGTTTTGGGCATATCCAGTTAGTGCTTCTGTGCTTATTTTTTCTCCATTATAATATGTTATGATGTTTTCGTGATCCTATTCTTAACATTTTTACTTCCATTTATTACTGCACCACTATATGTCACAGTTCAGTCTTCTATTCTTGGCAACTTTTTTTTGTAACCCATTATATACTTTATATGTACATATACTATGTATGCTTAAGAGACCTCTCAGCCAAAGCTTTTCTGTCTTTGGTATTGGGACATTCCCAAATCTATTGCTATATGATTCTATATTGGTGTTTTCTCAATTTTTGTTATTTATTTATTTGATCAGGATAATAATGATAAGTCTTATTATTTTGTGATGAGATTTTCTAATTATTTACAAAGATTTGATTCTTTATAATTTATTTACTATAACTATTTCTTGACAAAGTAACTTATAGCTACTTTTTTTTCATAATCTTGACCAAACAAACTCTTTATTTTTTTTTAACTCATATACTTCAGCAATTTTATCTCTAAAGATGCTTGTTTAGGTTGATCAGCAACCCTACGTTCTATTTAAATTTTCTTTCATTTAATTCATCTAATACATTCAACATACTTCACCCTTATAACTTAACCAGGCATCACATATGATTAATTCAACAATGTTTAATCCGTTCAACAATCACCAAAAAACCAACCTAATATTTTAAACAACTATAATCAAAGCATTTAACATTTCTATGTTTACTAAACAAATTTCCTGCACCTGATAATTATCAATATTACCCTTTGTATCTTTGCCTCTTTCCACAGTGTCATAATTATCATCATTAATATCATCAATGAGTCTAATTATTGTTAATTTCCCTTTATATTGAAAAATAAATAAAACTAATTAGGCCATTAGACAAAACAATGTTTTCAAACTATATATAATACATTATTTTTTAAACATAATATATAGGTAATCATTTCTCATACATTCAATGATAAGCTACAATAGGTCTCTATCAATATCATTTTTCAAAATGTTTCTATTGTTGTTTTGCATTTAGCAGTTCTTATTTGAATTGTCCTCAGGCAATCATTTCATAACGTTATATTATTACTTTGAATTATTCACATGTTAGAAAAGAAATTGTGGATCATACTTGACGTTACACAATCTATCATAACAATTTAACTGAAATTAAATAAATAAAATATATTAGGATACGACTCTTACTTATTTATTATGGTCATTAAGGTTCTTTACATCAGAAATTCCATGAGAGTTTATAAGGTGAAAACAATCTGATGCGTCTTTAACGTAAAAATAGCTAACAAACCTATAGAAAACTTCGTTAATACCACAACAATGGATGCTTTTGTATTATCTATTCAACAAGATAATAAGATAATGTGATTTACTATAAGAGATATAGCCCGGCTCTACCTCAAAACATAATGTTGATTTTGTTATTCCTAAAAATCTCATGGTTGTTAAGATTTAATTTCTGGTCAATCAAACCATTATATACATAAATTAAAATCATCATAGTTCAATTCATTTACTACTAGCATTTTTCTTTTATGTTCCTCTTTCAATTCCCTCAAACTAAACATAACCGAATTGGAAATGATGAATAAGTTCAATTTAATTTAGTCTTAACCTTCTTTATTTATTTAGCTGCGATTAATAAGTTAAATTTTTGTTTATTATTTTACAACATAAGCAATTTCCATGTAGGTTCTAATACAAGAAAAAAATATTAACAAGGTCACATGCAACACTATAAACCTCACAAACATTTATCACATTAATTCAATCCTTCATCCTCTACAAATCACATTTGAGTTATTGTCACAATTGATTTTCACATAACATGTTTTTCATAAGTAGTTACATTATTATAACTAAGATGCACATGCATTACAATGATTGATAGAAGCTAAGCAAATCTTTAGATCAACAAACAGAGAAAGTTTTTCATAAAAATAAAGGCATCAACAATATTGCTAAAAAATTTTAATGACTAACAACATTTATGTAAACCTTGTGACATTAGATGAATTGAGATTAATCATGCTTTTTCTCATATTGATGATTCAAATTATAATATCAGTTTAAATGAAATTAAATATATTAAATACATTAATTGAACTAAAAAAATATCATTTATGAAATTACCTTCAAGTTTAACTCCTTCATAATTGTCCTCCAATATAAAGATGTTTATCGACATCGTAGCTATAAGTACACTTTTTTTGCTTCATTGTCTTAGAGTTGGTTAATTTATGCCTATCTTACTCATGCACTGTAACTAACAAAAATCTTTTATATTAACATCTCAAATTGATTAGATTCAATAAGATTATGAAATAAGATTTTTTAAGGATTCCTTCTTAACTAAATGCACATGATTTTTGTTTCTACTTAGAGTTAGTTTATTAACTACAAACTGTGTATTTATCAATTTAAAAATAAAATTAAATTAAATCCTGAGTATTTTTTCAATCTCTTAAAACTTGATTTTATTATCTTCAAAATTTAATTCATTACATTCTTTACCAAATCTAAATGAATTAAATTTAAATTGTATTATAAAGCTAAACTGGATTTTATTATATATATAATACCTCATATATAATTGAATTATAAATCATCTATATTCATACAAATATAAATATCATCTTGATACAAAATTTTATATCTTTAATATATCATATAATAAAAAAAATTATATATTGTTTATTTAAAAAATTTTATCATGTGTACGTGTATTTATACTAGTGTAAATAAAAATCCCATTTTTTATTCATAATTGGGCCTCCCATTTTAGAAGCCCAGCCTTCTTCCGCATCTATCACAGATATTTTCCCACGTCTCTCCATTGGGAAGCCCCAATCTCTCTTCCGACCCATCGTCTCCGTTGCTATGTTCACTGCATTGGAAGCTCTCTCTTTCTTTTTCTTAAAAATAGCACAAACACCTCGAATGCTATTCTGAAAGGAGTAGAGAGGGAGAGAGAATGGCAGTTTCGCTCTCTTCCTTGCCGCTAGTACCATCGAAACCCTCTCTATGGTTGAAGCCCGAGCTCGCTCGCGGCGTCGCAATTTCCTCCATGTGCTCACTGGATAGCAGCCTGTTTGCTAATGCCCCACTCACCCAGCGACACTTGAAGAGAAGGCGGAGCCGCCCACGGAAAAGCGGCGGAACTTTCACCGCCTTCGTTGTTGTCGCAGCTTCGGTGGATTACTACTCCACGCTTGGAGTTTCCAGGTCCGCAAACAACAAAGAGATCAAAGCTGCCTATCGGAAGCTCGCTCGCCAGGTACTGCTCTTCCCTGAACTCGGTCCAATAAAAAATCTGAGCAGTTTCTGCTATGAAAATTTATGGTTTGGGATTCAGTTGTTGTTTTAAGAAGATTCAATCTACTGGTGCCCTTGTGTGTCAGATCCAGTAGGTTTGGTTAATTTGTGACTGGTGTGGCATTTGATAGTGGTTGACATTCACGGTATGCGGACAACGATATCAAGATTTTTAATAGAAGTATGAAATGCTTTTACCGTGGGCTGCCATTTGATGGAATCTACTGGGCATTTTTGCTTTCCCGCTAGCGGTTTATTGTCTTCTTTGCGTGAATTGAAGAACTTCGAGAACTAACGAAATGAATAAATGGTTGTTGTTTGATTCGGTCAATTGTATTTATGGGGCAGTCCCAATTGGAAATATTGGCTGTTACGAGGATATCTGGATTCTAGTGGCTTCACAAGACATGATGTGTTCCTTTATTCTTAATGAAGTAATTTATTGTGTTTAGTATTAACGGAGAGCACGGCATATTTTTCGAAAGGTAAATTCTTAATGTCTATCTGAATAAATCTTTTAAAAGGCAATTCAATTCATTATCTAGGGTGACATTTTGATTTGAATACTTATTGAAGTCCACCAAAGGAGGGACGACTATGCTTGCTCCAATTCCAGTTTGCTTTGAAAAATTTGAACTAATATTGTTGATTGTGTTACACATTCAATGTGTTAAAGAATCAAGTTTTCTTGCATTGAAGCATATTGACCCTCCTATGGATGCTCTGCAAACGTTCAAGAATGAGAAAATCTTTGAAGATGCTTCTTGCTATTGGTGTATTGTAGCAATTTGATTCGTGGCTTCACAAGATTGGTTGGCCCCTTCCTTGTATGAATTTTATCATGTGTTGAAATATAGTTCTACCCTAATTTCATAATGGTTTGGTCGCCCCCCCTCTAATGCAGCACAACCCTTATTTCATGATGATCTTAATGTTTGATGCAAGGCTCTTATCTGAGATCTTGTAACTGATCTATATGTATGTTGAGGTATGTAGAGTTACCTCTAGTTACACGTCATTGACAACGAACTTAAGTGTATTATATCCTTCAATGGTGAATTTGATCATGAATTGAGATCAACACAAACTAGTTTGAAAACGTGCTCAAGGAATAACCACCTATAGATTAGCATATATCCTTCTAGTTCTTTATTTGACACTACCTGTGTTGTTTTTGTGCTAAATAGTGCAACTTAATGATTAACTATATTTTCCCTCATCACAAGCTCTACTGCTCAATTGATTGAGCCAATGTTTCACCTATGTGCAAATGTGTGCTCGAGTGTACGGCTATACTTAGAGCCATATTAATTCTTGGCCGGGTCAAGAATGCCCCCCCCCTTTATTGTATGGTGAGTGCGAAATGTCGAGAAAACTATTATATAACACCCTTTATTATCTCCTCTCAATTGTCTATTACAATTGAGCAACCAACTGAAATTTATCTATCGAATCTACATTTTATTATTATTCAAAAAGATAAATACTAATGTCCTAGCCATCAATTATCTTTTGAAGTTTTTTCATTCTCCTGTCATCTCTTTGCCTTGCCTTTGTTCAGCATCTCTATTCCTAGGACATATTAGGAAGCTTTGTTCAACCTTACATGGAATCACACAATGAAAATTCAAAGGGATGCTCTTATTGGTTGCTATTCTTGAGACTTTTTTATGCCTCCTCCCACGGTTAATCCCATTTCATGTTAGCAAGGTTTCACTCAAAAGCATGTTGATGCCTTCGTTGAATGCTTGTAGGCTCGATTGGTGGCAAAAGATATACGTAGGTCTATGGCATAGACTTTTTGCGAATTTCTCCCACATTGCTCATCTTAATTTTATTTTTCTATTGACTTTAATAAAAAATGGAATGCACTGTAAATGTATGCCAACTATATATTTTTTCTATGGGTTCTCACCAAATATACTCAGATAGAGCAACATCATGATAACGCTATTCAAGGGTAAACTAAAATATGCAAGCTCTCAAAAGCAATATATGATACTCATGCATGATTTTAGAAACTCTGCAAAGTTTTAATTTATGTCGGGCTACAAATTAGTAAGGTTTCTATCCTTAGTCGATACTCTTTCTCTGGCGTAGTGATTCTTGTTGCATATGTCGATTGTTTTCTTCACATTGGAGGTCACTCTTGTTATATTATTGAAATAAAACAATGTCTTAAATCATGTTTGTAAACAAAGATTTTGGGACCTTAAAGTACTTTCTTGGCATTGAGTTTGAATACAGTGAATGTGTCTCTATCTCATAGAAAATATGCTACAAACATTGTTAAAGAATCACGTTTTCTTGCATTGAAGCCTATTGACCCTCCCATGGATGCTCTGCAAACGTTCAAGAATGAGAAAATCTTTGAAGATGCTTCTTGCTATTGGTGTATTGTTGGCAAGCTTATTTATCTGACTATATTTGATATTTCTGCACACACACAATTTGAAGAAATATTGGGAGGTTGTCTCACAACAACAACAACAACATCAAGCCTTTATCCCACTACGTGGGGTCGGCTACATGAATCCTTTTTCTCCATTGTGTCCTATTAAAAGTCAAATTCTCGTTTAAATCTAATAAAGAAAGGTCATTCCTAATATTTTCTAACCAAGTCTTTTTAGGTCTACCCCTAACTTTCTTAACATAAGTCAAATCTAATACCTCTACTCTTCTAACCGGGTCATCGCAAGGCCGCCGTTTTATGTGACCAAACCATCTAAGGCGACTTTCTCTAATCTTATCTTCTACTGGAGCTACTCCAACCTTTTCACGTATATGCTCATTTCGTATCCTATCTCTAAGGGTAAAGCCACTCATCCACCTGAGCATCCTCATCTCTGCCACACTTAACTTAGTATTATGCTTCTCTTTTAAAGGCCAACATTCGGCACCATAAAGCATTGCAGACCTCACTACCATCTTATAGAATTTTCCCTTAAGTTTGAGGGGTACATTTCTATCACATAACAAGCCCGATGCATTCCTCCACTTCAACCATCCAACTTAAATTCTGCTGATAATATCCCCATCTATTTCACCATCACTCTGAACAATAGATCCAAGATATCTAAAACGTGTACTCTTATTAATGACTTGATCGCCCAAAGTCACAATCCCCTCACTAGGTCTATTACTACTAAAATTACACTCCACATATTCCGTTTTAGATCTACTCAAGCGAAAACCTTTAGACTCTAAGGTTGACCTCCATAATTCAAGTTTACCTTCAACTCCCTCTCTAGTCTTATCAACAAGAAGAATATCATCAGCAAAAAGCATACACCAAGGTACATCCTCTTGCAAATGTCTAGTGAGAACATCCATGACTAAAGCAAAAAGATATGGGCTTTAAGGCTGATCCTTGATGTAACCCAATCGAAATAGGGAAATACTTGGTCAATCCACCTTGTGTTTGAACACAAGTAATAGCTCCTGCATACATATCTTTAATGATTTGAATATAAGCATTATTGACTCATTTCTTTTCAAAAAATCTCCATAGCACTTCTCTTGGAACTTTATCATATGCTTTTTCTAAATCAATAAATATCATATGTAGATCCTCCTTATTTTCTCTATATTTCTCCATCAAACTTCTTAATAAATATATGGCTTCCATAGTTGACCTACCCGGCATGAATCCAAATTGATTTTGAGAAACATTAGTATCACGCCGCAACCTATGCTCCATAACTCGCTCCCATAGTGATGTGAATCAAAGTAGGAATCGCGATTGAAAATTAAAATGAAAATTATTCAAAGCGTTGTCAAAACAAATTTTATTACCAATAAAATAAAGGATTAATTCGTTCTAGGTAATTGACTTGCTTAGGCGAAGATTTGCTTTGAGATAACCAAACAATTCATAACACTTCCAAAAATAAAAGATCTACTTAGTTGCTCATAACAAAATCCCACAATTAATAATAAAGAAGTTCAACTTGAGTACCCTCTCTCTCTCTCGTTCACTCTTGGGCTTTAGCGGAGAAGAAAGAACCATGCGAGGATGAGGAGCACCACTACGATGAAGGCGACGAAAGACTTTATTACCGGAGAGGTATTCACCGGGGAAGGTGGTGGCGGATGGCGTCCAATGATCGTCCAAGTGTAACCACGAAATTGTCGGTCGAAAATACTTGCGAGAATCGGGACGACTCGCTCCAAGTACTCTTCGATTGTGGCGTCGTCTTCAAATCCTACGTCGAAGCAAGGAGAGCGTAGGATATCAATGCTCCCGTCGGCGTGGAAGACTAATCCCCATTCAAACTCCGGATCCGCCATTCGTCATTGAAGGAGGGATCGAAGGAGACACGAGAAGGGATTTGGGCCGTGAGCTATGGAAAGGATTGGAGGGAAAATCCGAAGTTAAATTTCAGATTTTTGGTGGAGGAAGGAGCCTTTATTTACTCTTAAAATTTCCCTTAATTAAGAGGGAGAGAGGGGCGGTTAAGGAGGGAAAATTAAGAGGGTGATTATGAGATGCTTAGGTGGCAAGTGGAGAGAGAAAAGATTGAGAGGGGTGGCCGGCCAAGCAAGGAGGAGGGAGAAGGTTGTGATTAATTAGTGGGGCCCAAAAGTTTAAATCAAATCTGATTTGTAAATTTCAGATTTAATTTAAATTTGGGGAAGTTTCCAAAGAGGGGGTAAGAGGGAGAGAAATTGAATTTGAATTTCCAGAAATTAAGCCTCAATTAAGTTCCTTTCCTATTGTTGGTGAAGCAAATAAGGAAAGTGTTAATGAGGAATTCATTGATGGAATTTGAAATTCAAATCCAAGGAGGATGGTCGGTGGGCTGATTCACGTGAATGGGAAGCTCGGCACGGTGAAGGGGAGGCAGCGGATTGGCCTGGGTCGGCTGCTAGCACAGCTGGCGGCCAAAAGGAATGGGAGAGCGTCTGTCTGTGCGTGGGAAACTGGTTGTATCGGGTGATGGGGGGGG